ATTCTCTATCCCTTATTTCTTACTTTACATTCTGCACATCAAGAGCACCGTCTTTATAATCTGTCTTGAATCTGAATTTTATTCAGACTCTATTGTGATTTATTTTGTTTCCGCATAAATTATCAAAAATTATTTAAGATCACCTATTCACCCCCCTCTAGGTGATCCTTGCTAGCTACATCAGGTAGTAAGTAGACCAACTAAACTTTGGTTAAGGCGATGTGCTATGATGATTGAACGAGTCATGTTCTTGTTGTGCTTGTATGGTATAGTAAGTGGACTTACTAAATCTTGGCTGCAATGTTGTGTTACGTTATTGGGCGAGTCATGTTCTTGTTGTGCTTGTGTGGTATAGTAAGTAGACCCACTAAACTTTAGTTAAGACAATGTGTTACGTTGGTTGAACGAGTCATATTTTAGTTGTGCTTATGTGGTATAGTAAGTGGACTTACTAAACCTTGGCTACGGTGTCATGTTACGCTGTTTGGCAAGTCATGTTCTTGTTGTGTTTACGTGGATTCCGTTGATTGTGAACGTTTGATATAACTTGCCACACATGTGTATGCATTTGTAAGATTTGCTCATGTGTTTGGCATCATGCTTTAGAGCACGCCCCGGGCCATGAACGAGTCTCGCTCAGTTCGGATCGGCGTCGAGGCGTGTCGGAACGAGCCATGCTTGGAAAGTCGGTATTGAGGCATACCAATACCAATCCAAGCCTTGCTTGGTGTAGGTCGGCGTCATGACCGGTCGGTCCGGATCACAAACTTGGTTTTATGCCTGGCATGACGTGAGATTTTTTAGGCTATATGACATGACACTTACTTCACGTGAAGTATTCAAGTTGGCATGGTTGTACGAGGGAAAATATAGCCGTCGCCCTTGATTGGAGACGTGACCCGATTAAGTTCGAATGAATAGCTGTCGCCCTTAATTAGGGGATGTTATCCGATTAAGTTCGAATGAAAAAGCCGTCACCCTTGGAATAGGGGACGTTGTTTGGAGAATTTTCGGAAGAACCTTACTAACGGTTGAGATAATGAATTCCTCGTGTGCATGCCCTTTGTGGTATTGTTGTTACGTGAATAGAAAAGCAAGTTGAAATCATCTCACGCATAAAGACAAGGGTATTTGAAGCATCTTTGCTATTAATTTGTCATCAATTGATGTAGCTATGACATATGCTTTGTTCGATGGCGAGGCACCTTCCTATCCGGAGTTTAGTAAGTTTTATTTACTAAGTCATTGACTCACTCCGTTGTTTTTCAGATTTGTAGACATAGAAGACTCACACCGGTTTTTTGAGTTGTAGTCACGTTAGAGGAGAAAAGAATTTCCCTCAGCCTACGCATATACGTGTAGTATGTTGAAAAGGGAAAAAAAGCCCGTAGAAATGGGTTTGTAAAATACAATAATGTAAATAGAAGGTTTGCTCATGATGCGCTTTTCCCTAATCCTGTTGTTTGATTGATGTTATTATGATTGTCCTGAGTATATATTTTCGCTTGTTCATAACAATAAGATAATAACGAATGGGACGTTGCATCAATAACCCCGAAGTGAAGACGTTAGACCGCGCTCTCGCCGACCACAGGTGAGTGGTGGGCGAGCCTATGGCCGGCGAGGGCCGCGACGCCCTCGCTTGGTTTAGGCGAGGGCTTCCCCACCCTCACCTGGATCTGGGCGAGGGATTGATGCACTCCCTTGTGGCTGGCGACCTCGCCTATGGCGTGTGCTCACGAGATTCAGTGATCGGCAGTTAATTATTTTGCTTGACAAATCTGTTCTCGTGGAACAAGTACGTGCTTAACTCTGTCGGTGCTCCGTGTTGATTTTCCTCGCTTTCTGGATTTGGTTTTGTTTCGTAGTATTCTGGGATTTCTCTGCTTCGATTTGATTTGCTGCGTAGTTTATGCATTTCTCATGAATACAAATTTCTTTCGAAAAGCATGGTCAATGTCCCCCTCTTGCCACTTGCCATATCTGATTGCGAGGATTGTCAAAGTAATGGCTAGCCTCGAAGTGGTTAATTACACTTAGCTTTTTCCCACCACCGTATTAAATAATCACTTAAATAGGCAAGGGAGTTTCTATATAGAATGTAACCTGTGTCTCTTCAAAAAATACTCCTTTAGTGCCTCACTTGAGTTTGAATCAACAAGTTAAAATAAAGAGCTCTGCTCAAGAGATAGCAATTCTCATGGTGGTTGCAATTATACAAATCCAGCTAGTTATTCTTTCAAGTAAGCCTCTTCATGCCTGCACATTCTTAAAATTTTTAAAAAATAAAATAAAGGGGAAAGATTTCATTCATGTTCTCGGATTCATTATTTTCAAACCTTGTATCGCTCTTTTTCCCGAGACGGTATACTCTTTTTGAGTACTCGTTCATCGAATTTGTCCAGGTACCTATGACATTGGTGTCAATTACGAGTTAAATGGAGACAACCTCCCATCTGCGGCCGCCGTCGTCAACCTCGTGGGAACCTGTCAGATAAGCTACGTTCGAGTCTTCGAACCGAGGAAAGATGTATTGGAAGCGTTTATAGGCAAACCCTTTGTCATCTCGCTCGACACTCGAAACAAGGACATCCAGAATCTAGCTTCGAGTCCGAGCGCTGCCCTCGCGTGGATTCAATCCAATGTGTCTCCGTATATAAACGACGTAAACATATATGATATATCACAATAGGCAACGAGGTGATTCCAGGTGCGGAAGCGCCTTACGTTGCTCAAGCCATAGACAACGTGCTAGCCGCAATCTCCACCGCGGGTATTGCAAAGACCATGAAGGTGTCCACGGTGATCGCGATGAATGCGCTCGGAAGCTCGTACCCTCCGTCGGCCGGCGCATTCTCCGACGCCGCCGCACAAGTATTGAGCAAAATCGCGCTGTTGCTCAAGCGTCAAGGGGGCGCCCCTCATGTTGAAAGTGTATCCGTACTTCACGTACGTCTCGGACCCCGAGAAGATCTCCCTCAAGTATGCGCTGTTCACATCCAAGGACGTCGTCGTGAGGGACGGGAAATTGGAGTACTACAACTTGTTCGGCGCGATGGTCGATTCGGTCTTCGCGGCCCTGGAGAAGATCAACGCGTCCGATCTGAGCATTGCCATCTCAGAGACGGGGTGTCCGAGCATTTGGAATCCGCAGTACACGAGCACGGACAATGCCTAGACCTATAACGGGAATTTCATGGACCGCATCTCGAATCGAACCGGCACGTCGAGGAGGCCGGGAGTGGCCATGAAAGCCTTCCTTTCCGAGCTATTCAACAAAGACGAAAAGGCCGGCGGGGCGGAACAGAACTTTGGATTCTTTTATCCCAACATGCGACCCGTTTACCCGTTCTGGCCAGGATCTTAGATGTATTCGACGGCTTTGTAATTCTCTCTTTAACTGCTAAAGATTAAAGTCACAATTTCAGCCTTCAAATTTTACTGAAAGACCGTTAAGGTGTGGAGGACGATCACCATGAATGTGCTCCGAAGCTCTGACCCTCCACCAGCCGGTGCATTCACCGAGGTTGCGGAAGCCCTAGACCAGATTGTGCCGTAGCTAGTGTGTCAAGATCCGCCCCTCATGTTGAACACGTATCCTTACTTCACGTATGTTCCGGACCTCGAGAAGATCTCAATTGAATACGTGCTGTTCACATTGAAGGAGGACGCCGTTGGTCGCGATGTTCAATTTGGTCTTTGTGGCGTTGGAGAAGATTAACACAGCCAATTAGTGCATCACCGTCTCGGAGACCCGGTCCTTGGATTTTTTACGGCTTGTGTAAATTTCTAAAAGAGTCAATACTACGAAAAACCCTAAATTGGTACACCCGTTATAAATTTACCAAAAACTAATTTTTTGATCATCAAAAAACTCTAAACTGGTATACTTGTAACAAATTTACTCTCTGTTAGTTTCCGTTAAATTTTACCGTCGAATTACTGAGTTGGATGACACGTGACAGTTGACAGGTATACCAATTTTGGATTTTACCCTCCGTTTGTTACAGGTATATTGGTTTCTGATTTTTCGTGGGATTAATTCAATTCGACGGAAACTAACGGAAGGTAAATTTATTACAAATGTATCAGTTTGGGGTTTTTGGTAATCATAAAATTAGTTTGTGATATATTTGTCAAGGGTGTATAAGTTTGGGGTTTTTTATTGTCAAAAAATTAGTTTAAGGGTAAATTTGTCATAAGTGTAGAAGTTTCGGATTTTTAGTTGTCAAAAAATTAGTTTAAGAGTAAATTTTTCATAAGTATACAAATTTGAGATTTTTCGTAGTATTAACCCATTCCAAAAAAATGATTTGGCTTTATTCATGAATAGTTTGCTAAAGACTAAAAGCATGCGCAATTTCCTTCTGAATAATATATATTACCATTTTATTTAAATTTGTTAAATATACAAGTGAAATATTCAAATACTCCCAAATTTGCACCATTAGAAGAGGATGTCAAGTCACCTAATTCAATTAATAGGTAAGTCAATGTTTGATGCCTCTCCCTCGTTCTGGTGCGTGCTAACTAATCGAAGTTGAGATATTCCGGTGATCCTAGAGCCTGGATTCTCTTTGGAGCGACCTCCAAATCGAGTAAAATTAATTTCTCTCGCGAAATTAGACATCTCGCGAAATTAGACATTTTCCAAGGACCGTACGGATTATTATTATTTTTTTCCATTTTTTTGTTCTTTTGGCTATAATTGCGTAAAAGAGTCTAATGACCAAAAATTTCGAACCGACAATTCTGGTTAGGTACATCCCCTCTCGTACGAAACTTGGTCCCTCGCTTTTGTAATAAATCGGCAAAAAATCGCGGATTAATAATAATATTCAGACCGGACCGGGCGACGAGGAGGAGGGGGGATGGGGCCCCACCGACGCGCCGAGGGGGAGCGCGTGCGCTACAGACGGCGCGAGATATATAGATACAGTGCAGCCAGCCGTAGCGCAAAAGCACGAAACCGGGGGGGGGGGGGGGGGGCCCGCACCGTCGGTGCCTCCGCTGCTCGGATCACTCCACGTGGCACCGCGTCCCGCTTTTCCAATCCCGCATCGGCGGCTTTTACCCGTACTCCCTCTCTCCTCCTCCCTCCTCCTCCCTCCCTCCTTCGTCCTCTTTTCTTTCTCAAGTCTTCCGCTCTCTCTCGCCGGTCAGCTCTGTCTCTCTCTCTCTCTCTCTTCGCAGCAATTCTTTCCTCCCCCCATTTTCCCGTCGCCCCAATATTTTCCCGGAAAGTGACCGGCGAGCTTCCTCCCCGAGCACGTCTCCTCCGCTCCCCGCTCTCTTCGGCCGCGGAAATCCGAAACGAGGCGCCGCCGGCGAGGAGCTCCCTTTCCTTCTTCCTCTTTCCCTTCCCCTTTTTACATCCGCGCCGCGGTGTCGGTTTTCGCGAGCTCTCCCCCGTCCTTGGCGCCCGCGCGCTGGAAACCCTAAAGCCTTATGCGGTTGCCACATGCCTCGATTCTTCTCTAGAGCGAAGCCGATGGAGTCCGGGACGAATCGGGGTTCGACGAGGAGGCGGCTCGAGCGCCGGAACGCGGCGAAGCACTACGACTACGACGCGTCCTCCTCGTCGTACTCGCCCTCCGACTCCTCGTCCTCGGCCTCGGCCTCGCGCCACACGCGGTCGCTGGACTTGTTCGAGCAGAAGAGCTTGCGGGTCGAGGGGGGCGAGGGCGAGATCGATCTGATATGCCGGAACCTGGGGCTGTCCGGGATCGATGACTTCGCTATCCCGACGGCGGCGTGGGAGGCGAGGAAGATCAGGTCGTCCTCCGATGTCCTGCCGCGGTCGAGGCTGAACTGGATGGAGAGTCCCAAGGAAGGAGGCGAAGAGAAGAAGGCTGCGGAGGTTGAAGCTGAGTTGCCGTCCGATAGGGTCTTGACTGAATTGACTTGGATTGCTTCTGCTAAGTCGAAACAGCGCAGTGAAGTTGTTGAGGATTCAGGGGACAGCCTTCGCGAGAGATTTAGGGCGGATGCGATCCAGTCAAGTCAGGACAAGCTTGTTGTGTCGGGTAAAATTTCCGTTGGGGTAAGAGAATGTTGTGGTATAAAGGGTGTTAGGCCGCCTATGCTTAAGCCTCCACCCTCAATGCGGCTTCCAGTAATCGATGATGGTTGCTCGACATGGGACTTGCTGAGGAATTTTGCCCCTGTTGGCGAAGAGGGAGCTTCTAGCGTTGCTCGGGAACGGGTTCATCCCTCCTCTGATGAAGAAGACGAAGATGCAGGAGAGCGGAAACAAGCGGTAGATGAAGCAATTAGGGTCGAGGTTGAGGAGGAGCAGGAAAAGGGAGTAAGGCTAGGGGAGACCGCAGTGCTATCGTCGTCTTGCTCATTTTCGACTTCGAATGATGAAGACTCCTCAAGTACTGCTACAACTACTCCGATAATTATTTCACCAAGTGAGAGATACAGACGAATAATCGAAAGTTGGGATAAGGGTCAGCTTCTGGGCCGTGGGTCATTTGGATCAGTCTACGAAGGAATAGCTGAGTAAGTGCAAAATTCTCTTCAGGCCTCACGCTAATCATTTAGTTTTGCTAGCATAATTCCTGAATCATTTGATAGGTCATCACTAAATGCGGCTCTAACGTTGTGTTCCAAATTTCCTGCATAATTCACGTAAGCTGGTGGAAATTAGGAGTTGCTTAGATATCAAGCGCAGTACACGGCTCAGCTGTCTCACCACCTTATTAATTTTTTCCAAAAACCCAGTCTAAGATCATCATGCGGGACATTCGGTTTGCAAAAGGCTTTACGTTGAACCATTTGTTCCATCCAGGATTCTTATCGACTTTCTTTTTGTTTTTTGTTTCTTTTGCGATAATGAGTAGCTATTAGCAAGCGAAAGGAGTATATGGATCTAAGTGTAGTTAGCTCTAATTGTGGGAGAGAAATTCACTCAGTTAGATTGATGTACTGCAGTGATAGGTGGATTTTGGTCCTTTAAGGTTCACGAATTGGCAAATCAATGAGAAAGGATGCATTTGACTGATATCACAAATGCATGTGACTCTTCTGCTTATGGAGGACTCCTACGCTAAGAAAGCCTTTACTTGTCAATCTTTTTCCTGGTGTCGGTGAAAGTCATGTACTTTACTCGCCATTATTGCTCCTGCTGTTCCTACATCTGCAGCGTGATGTTATTCCCGTTTACTGAGCGAGTTTATTATACCGGAAATTACTTGGTTTTCTTGGTACTTTATGGGCTCAATGAATTCTAATCCATACAATAGGATCTTCTCATTAATGTCCTTCTTCCTCTCTCTTGCCCTGCAGTCATGGCTTCTTTATCGCTATAAAGGAAGTCTCATTGCTCGATCAAGGAGATATGGGAAGGCAAAGTATCTTGTATTTGGAACAGGTAATTATTTTTTCTCCTTTGCCGTATCTAGAACATCAATGTAGTTGGGAGAGGCTGGAAATATCACAACTGCAATTTATACTAGTGTTGGGCTTGATCTCATCGAGTGCTTTCTTTTTCAGGAGATTGCTCTTCTAAGTCAGTTTGAACATGAGAACATAGTCCAGTATTACGGCACGGCAAAGGTACAACTTTCTTTCTTATTATGTTGATGACATGCCTTTTAGCAATTGACTCTCCGCATTCTTACAAATCAACAAATCCATGAACAGGATGATTCCAATCTCTATATTTTTCTCGAGCTCATGACGAAAGGTTCCCTTGCAAATCTCTATCAAACATACCATCTAAAAGATTCTCAAGTTTCTTCATACACAAGACAGATCTTGAGCGGTCTAAAGTATCTTCATGATCGCAATGTGGTCCACAGGTGAGACATGCATACCTACCCTAATTCTTGTAGTGTTATTATACAATCTCTATAAGCACCTTTGATGTTACTATACCCTAATTCCTGTAGTGTTATTAGTGCCACATCCTTGATTTTGGGTGCTCTTAGTGGGTGTTATTGGTATGTTATATCTGCATTACCAATGTGCTACTGCTGCCTATTTTTTGTAGCAGTATCCGTATGACCTCTACATGCTTTGTGCAAACATTGGGTTTCCTGCTTTAAGAAAAACTTTTTTATTTTATCATGTCTTACTCGAAGAAATTCTTTCTATAGTGTTTCTATGGTGTGTGTTCCGCATGTAATTAATCTCGGTTGTATCTTTAGGTGAGAGGTCTTAGAACACTGATTTTCCTTTTGAAACTTAATTTGATCTTCATAAGGTTTCTCTAGATTGTCTTTTACCTCATATTATTATTGCATCGTGGCTGCGTTTATTGTTATTGCAATATATCTGCCTTTGGTTGGAAAAATATCTAGTGGTATTGGTGCAGTAAAACATACTTCTGCTTAGTTATTCCCTATTGTTTCATGCACTGATTTGACTTCTCTTTCTGCTTTTCGATTGATCTCTAACTTTTGGTAATACGATGGAGTGAAGTAATGTCTCGAAGTAATGACTCTCTTTGCTGACTTAAGCTGCATCATCTATATTTCTTGATTCTGAAATGATACACAAACCATTGTGAAGTTTGGTTTACAGTGCCAAATACCTGGAAAATTTACAGTTTTTTCCCTTAAACTTTGTCTTCTGCTTTCATACATTTATTTGAATTATATTATTTCGTTACTTAACTCTCTTCACTCTTTCTTTGATAGTTGTTCAATCATTTATGAGTCTGATACACTTTTAGTGGTTGTTGATTGCCATTCCTCATTGTACACAATTGTGTTACCTGTTTTCGCACCTCATCTTATTCATTATTGTGCTTAAGGGACATCAAATGTGCAAACATTTTGGTCGATGCAAATGGAATGGTGAAACTTGCAGATTTTGGATTAGCAAAGGTAATTATCGGTTTTTTTTTTTTTTTAAATGACGACATTCGGTTCTATAGATGTTGAGCTGCTGACACTACAAGCTAATCCCTTTTCTTCACCCGCCTCAGGCAACCAAATTAAATGATGTCAAATCTTGCAAGGGCACTGCATTCTGGATGGCACCGGAGGTTGTCTTTCATCCTTTCTTTTTCTGGTCGTTTTCTTTTACTGCAACTTTGAGTTTTTGAGTAGATTAGATTATTTTATTCAAATGATGGTTGGTGGCCCATATGGTAGGGTTGATGTGATCATCATATACCAGTGGATCGGAAGATATATAGGACCAACCAGGTGTAGAGCTGGATAAAAAGTTTGATAGTGAACAAGGACTGGACATGTCTGGGCAGGACATTTCCTATTTGTGCATATATTGAGATTCCTTTTATGGTGACAGCTGCCAACTTGGCTGAACTCCATATAATATCATATCCAGTCCCTAATAAGTCAACCAAGGGCAGTTTTGGAGTCTCATCGATCTACTGGTGTTTTTCTTTGAAAACATTAAGGTCTAGGTTATCAGGTTATTGAGTTCCTGATATTACTTGAAGATTTGTTTTTCAAATTGTTCAGGGCTTTGATTTTTGTTGTAAGCATACTACCAATTGCGTTACTTGATATTTCTTGACTGTTTTGAAATATCAAAATGATGTAGAGTGATACTTGACCACTGATTGATTTTGCCACAAAGAAATCAAATGCCCCTAGACTGCGATCAGAACTTGGAAAGCATTTTACACTTGGAAATCTTTAATATGGTTAACTATGAGTTATGCTGGGAGTAGTTCTTATCCATTGATGATTTTCTCATGGATGCAAACTGCAAAAGTTTTGTCTACATTAACTACTTTCATCTCAAAGGATTTGTTAATGTCAAAATAGGCTTGTTTATTCTTTTTGGACTAATCTAGAGGTCCCCCTCCCTCGAAAGAATACGAGAAAAAAAAAACACGGGGTCGTACTGATCTCAATAGGTCATTTAATTTCGTGTCGTCGGAGATCATAGAATACTATGACCATGCTTGTAATGTGATCAAAGGGGAAGAGAGAATTGTTTGCTTCTTCATTATTTCCTTCATCTTTTTTTTCCTCCATTTTGTTTTCTCCTGATGATTTTCCGAACATAGAGTTATCTATGTTATTCATCTTATTTTCTGAAAATAAAATTTTTCTTTATATAGGTGCGGGTTGTTATCCATTAGGAGAATAGTCACATGCCATTTTTTTCTTCTACATTTCTTAGTTAGGATAATTTGACTGTTTCGATTGGGTTTCAATAGGAAATTATCCTTTATTGTGTTCTCCTTGTACCCATGCAGGGTGTTTGTACTGAAATTACCACTTCCTGATATGATATAATAGGATGAGTTGAGCCTGTATTTGAGACAAAGATGGCTATGAAGAACGTAGAGGAGGTAGGATGGGCAGTTGCTTAGTTCTAGTATGGATTGTGGTTGGACTTGGATGATAGTTGGAGCCATTGGATATTAGAAAATGTGATTGAATATCTAATTTCCTAGAATATCATGGTTTCGTGTAAGTGGTCAAAGGAAGTACTTGTTGGGTAATTTGGACTCTGAACGTTTCCTTCTTGAAAATAAATTACAAAGACACATAAAAAATAAGTCAATCTGATCTATAACTTCATTTTGCTGGCAAATTATGGAGCCCTCATTTCTGTTTTACTTTGCAACAGTTTTTTATTATGTTGTTAGAACACCCTGCAATCGCTTCTCTTTAATAACCAAAAAGCTATTGAGTGTGGCCATTGAATTTCCCACGCTATGTGGCATATGACCATGCAAACTCTCCTAAGCCCCGCTTCCATGGCTATTGAAAATTTGCTTCTTGGTGGAGTGGCCTTGAATGAGGCCTTTTATGAGCATTTAGGCAACAAGTACAAGGCATGGAAAGGAATGTGATAGGATGGTATCCTCATGAGTGTTATATTTATTTTCATCATCAATGCAAACAAATAGTGATTAGTTTGTTTCCAGATATTTATAGGGTCAAAGTGGAATTTTCTAGAAAAGATGTGGAAATGCCCTTAACACCAAAGAATATGTGAAAAATGGATGTCCCCTCCAGCTTAAATTGTTGCGTCCAAAGAAAGGAATAAAGGTTGAATGGAATTTCATTCTTGCCAATTTTCTGGCCACCAAGGGGGGTGCTATGAGCGAAAATCTTATTGAAGCGTGATTTGTGCTATGCCATGTTGTTCGAACTGTTAAATAGACCTTGATATTCTCTAAATTTTAGTTCCCGTGTCTTATCTGTGGATGGGAACATGTCCATCTTGCAAAACTTGATTAGGGGGTGGGCCATGGGCTGTGTTATTTATAAGTTATGTCGGATGATGTTGATCCCATTCTCTGGTGTTCGTGGCAGATTTTCAAGCTGCATCTAGTTGTTATTATTGTCATCGTTGTCGTCCTTCTTCTTCTTAATCTTCTATTATTTTGCTGCTGCTGCTACTTTCTTTCTTTGATTGTGCTGTATTTTCCACTAACAGATACTTTTAAATTTCAAATTAGTCAAATGCTTCATATGGTATCACTGTTTGTCTCTTTCTTTTTGGACATCGAGTCATCCAATCAAGAAGTTTCCTACTCATCTGATACAACATTATTGAATGGATTGTAATACAAACTTTGGCTAATTCAGGTTGTAAAGGCCAAAAACCATGGCTATGGGCTTCCAGCTGATATATGGAGCCTTGGGTGCACTGTCTTAGAGATGCTGACCGGTCAGATCCCATATTCTCCTTTGGAATGGGTATGTTCCCTCCAACACGTCTAGCGAAAATATCTCTTTCGATCGTCTTGTTCCAAGAAAAGAAAAATCTTTCCAACCAGATCTCTCTGATGAGGCAGCTTTTCTACTTGGACGATAAGGGTTTTCCTTTTAATAACAGCTTTTCGATAATGTGGAATCATACGATACCTTCTCTGTATTGCTTTTTCTTTATAATAGTGTACCCTCTTTACTTTTTTTAGTAGAAAACGGAATCATCTAAATTCGTTTTATGCTCAAACCTGTTATCCATTAAACTGAACTTACATTTATCCTGTAAAAAGCAAAAGATTATGTCCGACTGTTTTAACTGTTGACCCAATCAGATGCAAGCATTGTTTCGGATCGGAAAGGGTGAGCCACCACCGCTACCAGATTCTTTATCCAGAGATGCTAGTGATTTTATCTTGCAATGTTTACAAGTTAATCCCGGCGAACGTCCCACTGCCGCTCAGCTTTTAGATCACCCATTTGTGAAGAGGCCAATTCCCCCATTATCGGGCTCGGCATCTCCTTATCACCATCTCGGTAGACGAGCAACTGCATAAACCAAACCAAATTCATCTTTGCTTATTCGTAGCGGTCAACTTCTCACAGCCTTGCTGCGGATCTAGCTGTAGATCTGTGATTTATAGAGGAGCATGCATTTGGTCCGTGCAATTAGGTTCAGAAATTCATGCCTTGCAAATATGTCTAGTTTGATTCCTAGGGTTAGATTAAATTTAATTTTTGCTGTTGTTGTTCTCTCGATTTCTTTTTCCACTGGTGAAACCCGAAGATTGCGAGGGACAGGTATTGCTGTTGCTGTTGTGGTGGTGAGAAAATGAAAAGGGGAGGCAAATGTACATATGTATCTTTCATGAAATGCGTGTATTTAGATTGAGTGAATTCAGGTCTCTGATTCAGAGTTCGATGGATGTATTCACTGGTTCAATTATTGGAGCAAATGTGCCTTAACGGTATAATCCTTTTATAGAGTGAACAGCAGTTGATGTTATAACATCATATTACTCCACTGTCTGTGATTTGAGCTTACTTTTCACCAGCCCCATCTGCTCCTTACAGTCCTGGTCAGACGGAACACTGTATTTTCTTCGTGGGTGAAATGCTTGTACGAGGAGCACCTAAGTAGATACGTGAGATCTCATCGGCTCGTCTCATCATTGACTTGACTCGAGGGCTTAGAAAAGTCTACGGGCGGGGGGGGGGAGAAGAAAACCGTGTACGACACGAGAACGACGGGGCCTACGAAAAAATAAAAAAACACAACACCCGGTCTCCTCGCCAAGTTGTCATATCATGTGGATCTATTCCATATAGCCGTGCTGCTAGGACGCATCGTTGACTGAATTCGAAAGTCTCAGAAGTAACTTAATGACTTGTGAGCAGTGAATGCACGTGAAAAGAAAGGAAGTTTTGGAGAACATAGCCTGAAAATTCTTATGCGATGATCAATCTGCGAGTAGACAACGACAGTACTTTAAGATAATTCTTTCCATCTTGCTGCGATGACTCTGGATTTGTATAGACACCTTATATCATATCCTTGGAGAAATTATCAAAAAAGTTCTAAATCTGCTGCACTTGTGATAATTAAATCCTAAACCTTTCAATTTGGTTAATTTAGTCATAAACTTTTTGATAATTTGTCAATTTAGTCCTTTCGGGTAATTTTGATCGGAAATTACTGATGTGGTGATTTAGTCAGCGCCGATCGTGCCATGTAAGATAGCCAGCGCTAATGTGGACAATTTCTGTAATTTTTTCTTTTCTTTTTATTTCTTTTTCCTTTTTCCTTTTTTCCTCCGCTGGTGAGGGTGACCCTCACTTGAGGTCGGCGAGGGCGTCGAGATCCTTGTCGATGGCCGGTGGAGGAAAAAGGGAAAAAAAGAAAAGAAAAGAAAAGAAGAAAAATTCAGAAAATTACAAAAATTGTTCGGGTCGTGTCGGTCGTAAGACGGCTAGCACTAACTAAACCACCACATCAGCGATTTCCAGCCAAAATTAGCCAGAAAGAGTAAACTGACAATAATTAAATGGTTTAGGACTAATTTGGCAAATTGTCAAAATGTTTATGATTAAGTTGGCCAAATTGAAAGACTTAGGATTGAATTATCGCAAGTACAATAGATTTAAGACTTTTTTGGTAAATTTTCCCCCCATATCCCTCTTCAGCTAAGATATATATGCGTTTCTTTAGAAATTTATAGCTACAAGGCGATTACCATTAGGAAATAAAGATCTAAATCTCTTATAAATGGAAAACAAAAAAGCAACTATTTGCAAAATACGAAGAAACTATTTGAGAGTTGAAATGGATCAATCACTGTACGTATGAAAAGACATGAACCATATGCGAATTAACGACGGTTTGCTTGAGAGCATTTACGAAATCATGACAGACACTACCTTCAGCTAACTGTGATTTGGCAATATTTGTATTGTTAATTGGAGAACTCTTTCCTAACATGTTTATAAGCAATCGCTGTCTTTAATCCAAGATACTTACTTCTTTTAATGTCCTTTAAAGATTTCTTCGACCTGGTATATGTTTGTTGGCAAAAAGCACGCCGATCCATCGCCAAATCTCAAGAAATCCGCGGCTGAGAAGTTTATGGATCTGTGACTAGCGAGGATGAACCAACAGAAACAATTCAGGGAACGACTAATCAACAAGCACGGACGGATAATTTGCAGAAACCAGAAAGCGCAGACTCGAAAAGTACTACGCATTTTGATTATATACAACGCGTCCGTTGTCTCTTGGCGTGTTTATGAATCTATCGACATGTAGATCTCGTTCAGATTACGAGTCCCAGGGCTACTTCAACAATAGAATATAGCGTGACAATCAGATTAAATTCCTCCCCACAACTCGTGTGCAGATCTCGTCATGATGATCCTTTTGCGCACTTCCATCCGCATGATAACTTTCGGAGCATACGACTGAATTTCCTCTGTCGAGACACATGGAGAAGGGCAGAAAAGCACAAGAACATCGTCACCGGAAAACAGTGCAAGTTGATTAGAGAAGTGAATAAAACTCGTTGCGAAGAATAATTATGAAAAAATCCTGTAAGATTTCCTTACGTAAAAGGGCGTTTTACTTCTCTGATAGGCACGCTCGGGAGTTGCCGATCTTTCTTCTACTTCTTCTTCCTCGTCGGACCCAAGGCGCTCGTATCTCCGACTCTTGTTCCGTCGCCGAAGAATCTGATCGAGACATATTCGGATCCTCTTTGGCCCGGCTTGGGCTGACCATCTGCTCTTCTGCACTCAGAAGCAAAGCATTTTTGCTTTATATTATCCGTGCACGCACGTTAATTCACCTATCATTTGATCAAACCGACGGGAAGATTAGCCCGTGCTAAATTCGAGCAAAAATCCGAGTACCTTGCGCTCGGTCCGCTGTGCTGCCGGCGGAGAGCCGCCGCTGGTTCTCATTGCTCTTGCATAGGCAAGGAGCTGAGCGCGGCGATCGTAACCATCTGTTCTCGGGATTCGAGGGTTTTTGGAGAATGAGTCTGGCTTGATTTTTGTGGTGGGATGATTAGGTTTCTGGGAGGGAGACGGTGATGGTGATTCGACATAGACTGAGATGATGACTGGATTGGCGTTCGCCGATCTCTTCATGGATGGATCGTGAAAAGTGGTTGAGGATCAACCGAACAACTAGGCAAATCGATAACACTAGGGTTGTTATAATACTAGCAAATCTCAAGGGTTTTAGTTTGCAAATCTCATGGATTAGCTAAGTTGTTGAGGTTAACTTGGGTCTTATGCTTCGGACCACGTTAGCTCTCGTGTTCACTTTATCCGATATTCGAACATTCCGCTTGACCAATCTCTATAAATCTATGAAATACTGCATTCATTCGCATCAAATAAGGCTCCACGAAAGTGAGGCCGATGCAGCCTCCTAGAGACGAAAGATGTGATCTGAACATGGGGTGCATCGCATTCGAATCAAACGCTCGGCGACTCCACTAATCTTTTATAAGGTCAATATAGCTGTCACAATTACTATCGTGAAATCTTATTTCAGTTTCTTATTCTTGAATTTCATTTCAGGTTCAATGCAATTTGACATAAATTCTTGAGAGATCGGTCGTAAGAAGGTGAATTACATTTCGATGCATGTGTGACGATAATATCATTTTCTAAGGTTCTCCTTCATGTTTCCTTCGCAGTTACGGGCGTGAACCTAATCGGATTTGTCAACCAAAAATCAAATGTGTCCACGATTAATTGAACTGATCTCAGCCCTTTAGAAACTATGTGGAGTTCGAAAATGAATTAGATAGTAGCTTTTTGTCCCCTAGTAATCGGGACTTATTCCGGACGACTAACCTCTTAGTCTTATTTTTGCCATGATCCGTAACTACTACTCAAACCATGTTGCACTTTTCACCTAATCCATTATCTGTACCCTCCCGCGATCCAAAACAATGTAGCTGGAGTAGTTATGTCGCTGTCAGGCAGCAACAATGTAATGGAAAGTGAACAGCGAAAATAAATGAAAGAAAATTCTAGAAAAAAAATCACAAAATTAGAAAAAATTACAAAAATCGTCCATGTTAGTATTGATGGTTCGTTCGAGATTGCATTATCATCAACCGAGCTGAATTTGGCTTTTTTGAGGATTGGGGGGAGCTAGATTTGGCTCCACCGAGGGCCCGCATGGCTCCATCGACAATGAAGGACGCTGAACTCGATTGGCTCGGTCGTCGACGACAATGAAGGAGCTAAACTCGATTGGCTCGGTCGTCGACGAAACCCCGATAACGGGACGTATAGCCTCCAAGTACTAGCAATTCATCACCCTCAATTGTTTTGAACATGTGATAAATCTTTGAATCTCCGGTCATTGTCGCCAAACTGGCTTACAAAAGCAAACATGTTCAATTGAAATTATTCATTTAAGTCAGTGAGTCCATTTAGGCATTTCGGCACTCAACCAGTATCCATCACATTGCTACATTAATTTGAAACATGCCATAGCGTACCCCTCGGGCACTCGTTAAGTCTCATTGGTTGTGTTTTCGATATAATAAATATTTCTATCTGAAGTAGGTGACCTTTTTCGAAATGTGTTGTCGCTCCATTTTAAAAAATGTGGCTGACATGCGTAGTTTCTATTATCGATGATCTTAATTAATTCGTCGGGGACACTCGTCGGCAAGACCCAATTGATATGTTAATCTTGGTATCTCGAGCATTCTTCCTTAGACTTCTAGAATTGCTTTTGCAATCGAATGCAGCTGTATTACAGAGGTTTAATTTCTAATATTTCATATATTGCATCGATACAGTGGGGATGCTACGATCTAATTATTTCGTAGGAAAATAAAAATTGAAGCTCCAAGGTGAAACCCTCGAAGCTCATCTTTGGGTTTTTGCTGGTTCCTGGATTTGCCACGCATTTCACGATGGAAAGATCAATCAAGCCCAAATTACAAAAGGAAGAAAGGAAGAGAATGAAGAAGCGAAAGGCCGTTCTCGGTTTTACATTGTCAGGCTTGGACCCATCAAGAACAACTTAAGCTCAGCCCACGTTTGAATGGGGCTTTTTGACTTGCTTATGATTTTTGTTAGAGTGAGTTGGGAAAGGTTATAGGTTAATACCACGAAAAACCTCAAACTGTTGCATTTATGATAAATTTATCCAAACTAATTTTTTGATCAATAAAAACTCCAAACTGGTACACCTGTGACAATTTTACCCTCTGTTGATTTCCGTTAAATTTTACTATCAAAATTTCGAGTTGGATGACAAGTGGCAATGGACGGATGTACCAGTTTGGGGTTTTACTCTTCATCTGTCATGGATGTACTATTTTGTGATAATAATCCAATGTAATGGAAGGTAAATTTGTCATAAATGTACCAGTTTGGGATTTTTGGTGGTTAAAAAATTAGTTTAGGGTAAATCTGTTACATGTGTAGAAATTTTGGAGTTTTTTATAGTCAAAAAATTAGTTTTGGGTAAATTTATCACAGGTGTATCGATTTGAGGTTTTTCGTGGTATTAACCCAAAGGTTTTTAGGTGTTCGAGATGACAATCCTTGTCGCTTGTGCATTCCATACATTCTTCAAAGAGCTGCCGTTTCGTGTTTTCTCTTGTGCGGTTCGAAGAGTCTTCATTGCGCGGCTTGAAGGAATAAACAATGTGTGGCAAAAAGTTATATTTATATTTGAGACGTCCGCTGGATTCTTTATTAGAAGTCTCACTTTCCCACGATCAAATTTTGGACTTGGGTATTATCTCCAAGAAATTCAAACCTCCATATACTACGCTAACATATGGTCTTCAAGAATTGATTTTCTAATCCAAATAGGAAAGTGGACTTCTTTCCCAACGGATTCTAATGAATCGACCTTACATCCTTCTAGACCTTACATCCTTCTAGTGGAACGGGGTCTCGTACACGGTTCAAATTCGAGATGTTAATTTAACGGTAATTATATTCCCACAACCCTTATATATGCTATCAACATGTGCCTTATATACATGTAGTTTCTCTCTACCTAATTTCTTAATCTTTCAAGTTAGACTTTTTCACAAGATGCATATATTCGGAACGACGGAGGTCAATGGTATACCGAGAATTCGAGCTTGGGGAGAGGCGAGACACATTTTTTCCACTAATTACATGATATAGATAATTTCATCTTTGTATAACATGGACTATCCATATTTAACTTGTGGGTTAATACCACGAAAAACCCCAAACATGAACACCTGTGACAAATTTACTCAAAACTAATTTTTTGACTACTAAAAACTCTAAACTGGTACTGCTGTGATAATTTTATCCAAAACTTCTATTAATGCACCGACGGGCGCTCAATCATCACAGACGTATATTAAGCTCTAAGCCGATATCATCAAGACGTCCACTAGATTCTTTCTTAGAAGTCTCACTTTCCCACTATAAAATTTTGGACTTGCATATTATCTCCAAGAAATTCAAACCTCCATATATTACGCTAACATATGGTCTTCAAGAATTGATTTTCTAATCCAAATATGAAAGTGGATTTCTTTCCTAACAGTGAACTGATCTACATCCTTCAATTGGAACGAGGTCTCGGTTCAAATCCGAGACATTAATTTAACAGTAATTATAATCCCACAACCCTTATATATGCTGTCAAAATGTGCCTTATATACATGTAGTTTCTCTTCACCTAATTTTTTAATCTTTCGAGTTAAACTTTTCTCACAAGATGCATGTATTCGGAAAGACGGAGGTCAATGGTATGCCAAGAATTCGAGTTAAACTGTTTCGCCATAGGCTAATGCGATATCATCAATCAGTTATTCGAGCATAATTATTACATCTTTGTACAACATGGATTATCCATATTTAACTTGTGACATAGATATTTACATGATATAGATTTAACAGGATTGCACTTTTTGCCTTCTCCATCAACTCTGCATTATCGGTCTCCTTCATTGTTTTTGGCAATTTATTCTTGCCGTCCAACGCCTTTGCCAAACCTTGAGGTTGCGGTTGGTCTCCTGGATTTCTAGCCATTGGTGAATCGCGAAAATAAAGCCGGATATTTTCACATCTTACCATGTCATTATTTGTTATGAACGTCATATAAGTATAAATGAACCTAAAAATTGCACAAACAAAGATGATAAAAATATTTCACAACACTCTTACCTACTTCATTTTTATTTGCTTTTTTTTTAATCATTTTTCCCTCTCTTTTTTAATTATTTTGTTTTGTTATTTCCTTTTTCCCCTTCCATCATTCTCTAATAAAATTTTATTAAATAGTAAACTATACTAATATACCTAAAATATGTAATAAATATAAATACATTAGTATTGATTTATATATATGAAATTTATACCACAAGATATAAAGAAATTTTGATATAACTAAAAATAACAATAAATAAAAACGAAATTATTGTTTTTTTTGTTATTTTGAATTTTTTATATTAAAATTCAAATATTATTTATATTCAAATATTATTTTAATTTTATTAATTTAACAATTTGTTATTCGAGAAATTAAGTTTATATTATGATTTTTAGAAATCTTATCCACCTTTAACCCACCTCCCCCATGGGATAATTTTATCCGGGCTATATCCTTCATATATCCGACTTTATCCTATATTGGGCAGATATCAAACATGGGATATGATAAAATTTATCATATCCTAAATTTTATTCCGACTTCCAAATGTAGCCTGAGTTGTTAACACGTCATACATTTTAAGCTCCGCAACCTAAAATTGCTCCTCCCGTTGAACTTCTCAATCTCAAATTTCGCTCTAGACATAATTGTGACATTAGAATTTCCAAACGGTGATCAGGCAAAGCAAAAGCCCCAAATCAACTCTAGAAACCTTAGCCTTAATTCTAATGCCAATTGTTGTGATACAACGCGGAAGTGCTAAAGGTTATTGCAATTAAATCAATGCGAAATCACCATAGAAATAAACGAGGAACAACAAAAAACATCAGAGATTTATGTGGTTCAGTCCGAGTATTTGTACCTACTTTACGAGAAGGGCTAGCAACAAATAATTTAACTAATAGAAGGATTTTAGTGTTATAATCATTCACTGCTTAAGTGTTTACCATACCTAAATTACACCCAAGTCCGTAGTGTATACCTCACGTAATTGCTTGAACGTTGAGGTCACAGTTGCACTGACGCATCGATAAACAGAAGCTAAACTCACGAC